AACACCCCTCCCCCCCAAACCATTCTCCTATTCCTGGAACCCCTCTCCCCTCTCCCTCCCCTCCTCCCTCCCTCCCTCTCCTCTCCCTTCCTTCCCTCTCCCTCCTCCTTCCCTTCCCTCTCCCCCTCCTCCCACTCCCTCGCCCCTGCAATCCCTCCCCTCCCCTTCCTCTCCCCTCCTCCCCTCTCCCCTTGTCTGGGTCGGCGGGAAAAATCTAGAGTGACCTTCCAAGATGTCTAACGATGGCGGAGATAGCAAATAGCGTTCAGGAGAAAGAGAAAGGAAGAGAAAGGAAGAATAGGAAGGAAGGATGGTGGGGGTGGGAGAGGGAAAGGGAGTGGGGGAGGGAAAGGGAGTGGGGATGGAATGGGAGAGGCAGGGAGAAGAGGAGAGAAGAAAGAGAAAGAGAGAGAGAAAGAGAGATAGATAGATAGATGATAGAGAGAGAGACAGAGAGAGAGAGAGAGAAGAGAGAGAGAGAGAGAGAGAGAGAGAGAGAGAGAGAGAGAGAGAGAGAGAGAGAGAGAGAGAGAGAGAGAGAGAGAGAGGAGAGAGAAAGAGAGAAAGAGAAAGAAACAAAATAAAAAGGGAAGCCAAAACATCCGAACAGAAAAAAAAAGAATCAGAGAAAAATAACCGTCACTGATCGTTTTAAAAATGGCGCCAAATCCACCGGGGGCATTCAGGTGCCTCGTAAACTTAAAAAAAAAAACGCTTTATTATTTTTCTATCACGTGTCTTTTTCCCTCTAATCTTTTTCATGTGATATTTTCGCTGAATTAATATTGTTTTAATTCATATTGACTTTTTTCTCCGATAGCGCTGATCTTTAGCTCGCTTTTGACAAAATGAATATGCGGACGGTTAGCTGCATTTGAAATTTAAATGATAATGGCGGTTGTAACGGTTATGCTTATGGTTACGATTTTGTTGTTGTTCATCTATTGTTGTTGTCCCTGTTGTTATAACTGTTGTGGTTGTGATCGTTATAATTGTTTTGTGATTGTTAGCATTATTATTACTGTTGTTACTGTTCGTTATGACAAGGATAATGATGACAATTACAGTGTTTATAATAATCATGATGAAAATTATTATAATAGAAGTAGTTATCATAAAATGCTATAGTTATAATAAATAATCATCAGAAATAATCAATATCAATAAAAAATAGCAACAACAATAATGATAATAATGATAATGATAATAACAATAATGTTTAATGTTTGAAACAAATAATGTGCTAGACATCAAAGGTCATATAGCCCTATGGTAAAGAATTGTGTCGAAAAGGGTAAAGATAATGTTAATAATGATAACAGCGCTACTACTGTTATTACTAGAAGAACAATAATAGACATAATGATAATACTGCTAACGCTATCACTCACAACAATAACAAAGGCTAATAAACGAGAATAAAGACCATTCCCTCTCCTCTCTCCTCCACAAAAACAAACCAAAAGAAAGATGAATATTCCCTTCTCTTCCTCTTCCTCCTTCCCCTCTTCCCTCTACGCCTCCGCCTCGAGGCCCCACGAACGCCCGAGCGAGACAAGAGCTTATTTACGACGGCCATATTTGCGCAGCGGCTCAACGGAAGGCAAAAAGGCCCTCTCTGACGTAAATACAAGATCAATTTTGCGTCCGTGTTCGCTGGAGGAGGTTCATTGGGGCATCGAGTGTTGTGTGTAGGGCTATAAACGTCTTGGTAAAAAAAGGAAGGGGGTTGGAAGCCTCTCCTCGCGCTGCAGGGATTCGGAATGCGTTCGTTTATCGGGTTCGGAGTCGGTGTGATGGAGTTCGAACCTACGTGCGCGATGCGATTTTGTTCTGCTGTGCGAGGCGTCGGTGAGTGATAGAAGGTTTTATAAGGGATGCGGGAAACGACTTGGATGTGACTGGATGCCATTCGGGAGCCGTTTTATAGGCGAATAAAACGTCATTTTATGAGCAATTGAACTCCTTTTGAGGAACCTTGGGACGAGGATTTGATAATTTTATAAACGTTTCCCGCTCCCATTCATACGAAGAGGGAGGACAGGAAGGGCGAGAATAATACGAAAGAAGAATCGCCATCAAAGGACAAATAAATAACAGCCGAGAGGGATGAAAGAGAAATCACTCGAAGAAAATAATGCCGACGAGAAGATGAGGAAAAGAATGAGAAGAGGTGAGAAGAGGGAACAGCAGGAGAAGAGGAGAGAGGGAGGGAGGGGGGAGGGAGGAGAGAGAGAGAGAGTGGGAGGAGAGAAGGGGGAGAGAGGAAGGAATAGGGAGGGAGGGAGGGAGGGAGGGGGAGGGAAGGAAGGAGAGAGAGGGAGCGAGAAGGAGAGAGGGAAGAAGAGAGAGGCAGGGAGGTAGGTATAGAGAGGAGGGAGAAAGAGGGGAGAAAGAGGGAGGGAGAGGGAGAAGGAGAAGAGGGAGGGAGGGAGGTCTGTATCGAGTGTTCCGGGGGCGAGCAGAAGCCCTTGTGTCTATATTCGACTTAAGAACAAAG